AAAGAGCATTATATAAGAAATTAAATTACAATTATACATAATTTGCAAAAGGATTTACAGTAAAAGAAATGATAATAGTATTAAGAAAGGACAGTAATATAAAGTACATGTTTTGCGTAATTGTGATAAGTATAATTATGATAAGTAGTTCGTTGGTGGTAATTTTTTGTACAACATTTTATTTTCGTGGAAAATGATATTTTATTTGCACATTTCTAGTTATGCAGTAAAAATTCTTCAATCAACAATGATTCCCCCTTCCTTCCGTTCAAAAATTAAATACTCTCAGAAATCGTGCTTTGGAATAAATCGAACACTCGCAGGCTTAAAAAATGTTAACTAAAAGTTTAAAATGATACAATCAATACAATATATATTTAAACATAATTAAAACCAATAAAAACATAGTAAGTTAGATTAAGGATGTAAAATCTTCAAGTTCGTGATATTTGAATCGCCATTTTCCTTCCTTCTGTTTTCAGAACTTTCAAATTTACTCTTTCCTTTTACAAAAAATCTTAATTAAACGTTGTAGCTGAAATCCGACAGATGAATGTTGTTTTTCATTCTAATTAGAGGGAGGATATTTTAATGCCTGATATTAGATTCTAAATTCTCAACTTTTACATCGTTTACTTCATTTTCATTTATTAGAAGCATATTTTGCCCCACTTTTTTTCTTCTAAATTTAGAAATGGCAATATCTACTGTATTCAATTTAGAATAACATAAACGAACGATAATTATTACAAGAGGGGAACACGGATTAGAATCCACCGATTCACCACTAAATCGAATTAAGGACAGATGATACAAACTTTTGTCAAAAGATATGAAATTAATAACCAGAGTCATGTGTTATTGAGTAAAATGAATAACTTTCACCGCGTAGTTTTTGATTTTTTTATTCAAATTTTCACAAAAATGAGATTTGAAGTGAAAGATATTTGTATAGATTAATAAGGGTGGTTTCAGAGAGGCAGAATTTTGAAAATCTCAGAGGGTTTACAAATTCTTTATATTCTAGAAATTTATTATTTGCATCATTTTCAATGAAATTAGGCCAAAAAATATATACTAATCCAGGCATCCATTTTTTTGTTTGTATCATCTGTCCTTAATTGCCAAGTATATGTTTCAATAGGTTATCGCAACTATCAACTACATTTATCGCAAACAGCCGCTGAATCAATCTACTTGCGTTGGCAACGAATTATATATCAAACCCAAAATCATTGATGGTTTTCTTTTTACGCGTCAGTCTTTTTCTACGCAAAGCGGGTCGTTGACCATTTTAAATGTTATTTTAAAATGAAGGTATCCTAATTGCAACGAAAAGACATGTATAGGTCTACCCTTCTTTTATATGAAAACTTGGCAAATTGTCTACTTCGCTCCAGGGAAAGAGATTGTATGACACGTAATACTGGTCCGTCCCTCACTTATATTAAAGTTTGACAATGTGCATTATTATTTCAAATTCCTGCAGCTATGTTTAAATTGATTACGATAATGTAGTTCTTATCCATGGCAACCTTCCCACATCGTAAAGCATTTTGGGGGAAATAACCTGACCTACCCCATATAATAAGTAAAACTGATGTACTGGTCAATAACCAATCGGTTATAAGATATTTCTGAAATTAAGAGACTAGTAACCATGTAAACGTGACCAACCCAAATAATCATCATGACGTAATAATCTGACTTTTTTCTCGATCACCGTCTAGTTTACATACGTTTATTATACCTCTACTGAATTTTCCCTATATAAAATTATATCGTTAGATGTAGCTTATTCCCTTGAAATCGTTATGAATGGACTAACTCCCGTGCGTTAATCTAGTGAGCTAATCCCTGCTTCAAAAGTTAATTCCCGGTTCGTAATCCTCTAGATTTTACTTATATATTAGTGTGATATGTGAATGGGCTAATCCCCAGTGTGTTAGTTCAGTGAGCTAATCCCTGCTTTGAAATCACGCTATCTGAATCTTCTAAAGTTTAAGTTTGTATCAGTATAATAAAACAGTTAAAAATTATATCATTGTGGGAGTTGGCAAGATTCGAGTCCCCACGGCCAAAACTATTTCCCGGCGCTTGGCCTCGGGAAATAGTCTTAGCCTTGGGGAACTGCATGAATCTTGCTATCTCCCTCAATGCTCAATGCCCTCAATACTAACTGTTTCTGAAAAGAGCTTATATTGCATCCAGCGTCAAATACATTGTGACCACGGAAATTGCCAAAAATAGCAAACTTAGGAGTTTATTCACCCCATTTTGCACTCTTCGACAAACGAGACAAGATTTTGAATATTAATTGTTTGAAAAACACGAACAAAATTAATTTTAAGAGCCCTTCACAGCGACTTTCATCCTAAAGTTAGATGACCATCTTGGAAAACAATGTGTGATATTGTTCGAATGAATTTTCTTATCGTCACCACTTACATAGCTCTTCACCGACCCATTAGGATGGGAAGCAAAACGGACAAGATAAATCTAGTCACGGAAAACCTTTCTGAATCATACGCATCTTACAAAGACGACATTTGCGACAAGCTACTATCTCTACAATCGAAGTCCTCAACCAAAATAAAACTACTGTTGACCACAAAACTCTGCTTCTTTCCTGTAATTTGTACAAAAAAATAACACGTGTTCTTTTTAATGTAAAAATAATTTTGTGATTATGTTTTACTTCGGCAATATATTAAAATATGCATTAGATATAAGGTCCTTAAAAGAGTGTTGACGCTTAAAGTTTAATAAATTCACCAATGTAGACATTTCCCGGTGATATTACTTACTGTTATACTAATGAAACTTTCATTCTTTTTTATAATATTAAGAGACGTCGAATAGGATACTGTATAACGGTATTATTAATTAACATCGACGACAGACAAACTTTCGTCAGTTCCTATAATTTCCAAAGATGTAAATAGTCATTTTACTAAATATTCATGACCCAGAAAAAATGTAAACACGATTATAATAATTACCTAACCTACATCTGAAAATTAATAAATTTATTATATATATTTAAATAAGGATACGTGCACATACTTATTTCCGAAAGGAGGATTGGAAACGTAAAGCTACTGGCCTCCTGACTGAAGCTAGTAAAAATGGGTAGCAATCACATCGTATGCTACTGAAAATTGGCTGTTGCTTAAACGCAAAACTGAAGAAAATGTGAATAAATTTAGATGCTTTACTCAGAGAGAGAGAGAGAGAGAGAGAGAGAGAGAGAGAGAGAGCGCCTTTCTATCCATGTAATTAATTGCTTATGTTTGCCCACTGGATTCTTTTCTTGTTCTTTTAAATACGTATATTTTCCGTTTTTCTAATCCGTTTGACGTTGTTCCTTGAAGTTGACTATAACCGGGGATTATACAGCCGCCGTGGGTTTTATTTACAGTGGCTTCTATTACGGTGACCACCTGCTCGAAGCCGTCAAACATTCGCCAGTTTCGTCTCAAGGGTGTCCAACTTTACTAGCCCGACCAGCAGACAAATACCACCGCGACAAGCCGATAACGCATGGGCAATCATTGAACGGCGAAATCAAAGGCAACCAAATTTCAAATGACCACAGAAAATGGCTATAGTGTTGACATGATCATATTATCTGTTCATGCTTTAAGCCCAAATTAAGCAATATATTGAATCTGTGTAGCTATTCACATGCCGACAGGCATCATAACCAATTGCGTGTCCGATCACACTGATTTACACTGTCATTTGTTCGACAAATATAGACTCAAAGTCATAAACGTAGGGTACAATTTCAAGTGCTATTCACTAATATTAACGCAAAAAATTAAGTTGTTGGGTAAAACAGATTAATGCATGCAGAAATCGCGATCTAAAAATGTTCCGTTTTGATGCTGCAAGTGACATAATAACCACCATGTATAGCATGGTAAGTGCAAAAGCCTGTAATATTGTGTTGTCTGCATGATATTATCGACCTTCGAAAGGATACACAGCTTTAATTTCGGAAGACTACTTTTTATGCGTTTTCATAGACACTGAGGGAACAGTGGCAAAGTTTACATAGATATATACATGTACTGCCGCAAGCAATCATTATTTCCGTGATATAAAATTCAGCTCAGCGATTTTCTTGCGTTGACTACCTATGCAGTGGTTATATTAATTCGTAAAAACACATGCTAATGGCCTGAAATGACCTCCCTCTCAAGTGCTGGTTTTTGGCTGTGGGTCATCCTCTAGTCAATACTCCTCTGTACAGGTGAGCGAGGAATGATAACTGGCCTGGCAGAGGACCAAAGTCTTCTCTCAAAAACCTGCAAGACATCTCATGGAAACTGTTTAAAGAGAATTGCCTAAATATTTCCCAGCTATCCTCACCTTTGAGCAATATTTCTATCCAAAGTCCATTACCTGTAATCTATCTGACCTGTTTTTAACTCACTATTGTAAACTTACTGCAAGGACCCCCTCCCCCTATATGATTTTTGGGAGGGAGGGGTTTGAAAGAGGTGTAAATGTTAGGATTTTTAAATGTTGCCTAACTATTATACTTTTGTCTTCATCTGTCATACAAATTTACATCAAATCTACAGTTTGTATCAACCTTCATATCTATTTCAAGGTTGTTAAGATTGGGTGGGTGGGAGGTCAAATTCTAGATTTAAGTTTTTTTTTTCATTATACAAACTGACATACAATTTATAATCAAAAATTTTCAATCGCTCAATAATTTAACTTTTTTGATCTGAAAAAGACTGACATTCATACCTCAGCTTTAATTTTTTATTGAACATTTTAACAGAAAAAATGCAAAATATCACCGAAATACTTTTGAGGGCCATTGCCTTGTTGTGCACCACGAAACTGATATAAGTGTGAAAAAGGTCACATAAGCCTAGGGACAACTGATGTCTGCCAATGCCCCCAAATTCTCATAATGACCAATCACTGCCACCAAAGCATATTAAAGGTAATTTTAGACAAAAAAACATGTCAGTATCTAAGTTCAAGAATTTAATCACCAAAACAAAAACAAACATATGGTAATGGATAAAAAGTTTCCTTTTTAATGGAGAAATCAATATGAATTGCTGATTCATCTGCATAATGATAGGGCAAAAAGAATAATTGTTCTTCACAGAAGGTCCTGATAATGCAGGCTGTTGTCCTATTGCAAGATGGTAGGAGAGAAAGATGGGGGTGACAAGTGGCACTTTTATTCCTGATTCTGCCTCCCTGCCCTTTCTAGTAGCTGTTACTAGGGTGACACACTTCGGCTTTTGATGGGTTCCATACACAGGATTAGAAATTGTCCTTATCAGCTTTCCCTGCACTGAGTCCTCATTACTGGTCTGAAAAAAGAGAGGATAGAGTGAGCATAATCTGAGGGTGAAATCTAATACAAACAGGGATACAGAGGGGGCTCAGAAGGGGCAACCCCAGCAAGACCTGGCAGTTAATGGCTGAGTCTAATTTTAGCCCCTAAATGAAGTGAAATCATAAATTTGTTAACAAGGTCATTTGACTAGTCTTGGCCTTTGCTCCAGCTGCTGACTTGATTAGCAGTGCCTGTCGACAATGCCACGAGGATCTTTGAACCTTGAGACCTTTCCAAAAAACCTGGAAGCAGAGAGTAAAGAACTCTCTCGTATGTTTTAGCCTAGTAATTCCTGGAGTTAACACTATCCAGGCCCCAGAATGACAACAGAGCATTAAACAAGGAATTCTATCTATACACTGTAAATAGATTTGTAATATAAATGTGTACATCTCTCTACATGCTCAATATTGCTGTAGCATTTTCACTTGGCAGTGAAAGTTCATTTTTTCCTCTTACTTCTGATCTGAACTCTTCCATTCAAGTCAGAATAGATTGAACACTTGATCTGCAGGGTACATTTACTGTGAGAAAGAATTTCCTTAGCAGTTGAAGACCTTTTCTATCAACAGTCGCTTCAGATGCGGTAAAACTCTGCAAGACGGGGAAAGCTCTTTTTTTTGTTTTTGATTAGGAGGAAAGAGGAGGCTTGTAATAAAAAAATCCAATAAATGTGCCACCCAAGTAATTTGATTACCACTGGACAATGGCTGAGATGTGTGGAGGGCAAGAGGGATGGCAGTATATAAAACAATCTGACCTATTTATATTTCTCACATATACTTTTCTCTGTTAATAAATAAATACATGTAGATTAAACCTGCATTTTGATTTTTCTGTCCTATATTTTACCTGTGAGTGATAGCAGATTTCCTATCAGAAGGCCAAGGGAAATGTAAGTCTGTTTTCTAGCAGATAAAAGAATAAAATTTGTTAAAAGCTTTGTGATTTCAAAATCAAGTGGCTTGATTTTCTGACAGTGGATAAACTTAAAGAAGACAAATTGTTCATATTTTCACAGGTGTGAGAGAAATATTGAAAAAGAAGAAAATAATTGGGGGTAAATTTAATTATTCAGTGCAGTTGTTTTTCCGACAGAGCAAGGGATGTTTGCACAGGATTTGGGTTTTTTTTCCCCCGGTATACAGATTTATGTGTTTTAGGACCTAATGTATTTTTTCATTCATCAAACTTTTTTTTTTTTGAGAGATAATGTTTATGCTGACAGGAAATAAGTAAAAACAGGATTAAGATCCCATCAATTAAGTTTGCGTAGTCCCAAAAGTGTGCCCAGACACTATGAAATATCCCCTTACCAAACACCACCACCCCAACAAAAAAGCTGATCCTTGTCTGCCTCACTTAATGCCTCTCCTTCAAATCCATCCATTAAAATAAATAAAAAAGTTCATCATCTCAATAATAAACAGGGGGTGATGGCCAAGTTATGACCATGAAGAAAAGCCCCCGTTCTTCATGCAACAGATTACGAGACACAATAAGAAATCTGATGAATATTTCATATTCCGAATGATAAATGTCCACAAACTGGGCATATTATTGACCAAACTTCTCACTCCCATATTGAATTTAAATATATGTTCCTGGTAATGTGGTTATATTGGTAACTTTATGCAACTTAATGTCAGATTAATTAGATTCTATTATTTAATAATAGTAATCGGCAATTGTATTCTTGTTTTACATGGCCTGGAGACAGATTTCTATTCAGATTTATTTTTTGCTAACTAGATGCAAATAATTTGCAAAAATACATTCTGAAAAGTTCAATGGATTTTCTTGTAACCTTCTTACAGTCCTATAGAGCTTGAGTTTCGAGTTAAAAACAACACTTCCCCCCTTAAACTCATACATCTGGAAATGATTTCCTTTACAGAAATGAAATGTTTCACATGTATCTTGATGGTCAATACACACTAGTGTAGCCCGGAGCAGGACATGTCTAACAGCTGTAGTCATCCCGATTATCACCCCCTGGGGCTATGCATGGTTAATAAGCCCAGGGGATTTGTGCCTCTGCCCCTGTATCTCCCCACAGTGACAGGTACATTACTCACAGATAATCAATACACCAAGCCATGTTCCTACTGATCTTCAGCCATGCTCGGAACATTGACTTTGGTGGTACAAAATTACCAGCCTTTCTGCCTCTGAGCCAATTCTTGCCAGATTAACTCAAGGTCTCAATCAGTTGGATTTTGGACAAAATCAAAAGAAGCTAGCTCACACCAGCATGAATCATATAATACTGTTAGATGAACAATTTCACTGTTAATATTTCATCAGATTTATCAGAAAATTGTCATATGTGAGGAATTGAATTTCTAATGAGAAGAACCATGCAGGCCCTCAAAATAAAAACAGTTTTCCCATCCACTTCAAAAAGCCCAATAAATACAAGACATCTAAGGCAATTAAATAACATCATGTGTGTGAAAAATAATCTGAACCTGTCTGGGGTGATATTGTAAAGTCAGTGCCAGGGCTGGGAAGCTGACTGCAGGTTGCTCTGATTAGGTTTCCATCTCCCAAGATTGCTGCCAGATTAAAATGCAAATAGGTACTTGTCAATAATCAAAGATACCTGTAAACAATCAGGGTAAATTTAGATCTAGCTTAATTAAAATAGATATGTGCAATTATGCATTATCTTTCTCTCTTTACCCCTATGGTGTTTTGCAGCTGAAGGGTTTGTGATAAAACAGACTAATCTACAGGCAGGAATTTTTTGACTGCCACACAGGGGTTTATGCATTAAAAAGAGTTTATGAGTCTCCCTGTTTTATGAGCCTGGCTACTGTGTTCATCTGTTAGCACGAAGGGTCAGCCTTTGCACCTCGCATGTCAGCAGTCTCAGCTTAAGCGGTGGCCCTTAACAATCGCTGGCTGCTGTTTGTGTCACCGTAAATCTCCCTCCCCAACCATTTACAGCTTTTCATCTACTGCCTATAGAAATTCCACTTCCCTTGCATGTCTATGTTGAAATTGGTGAGATTTGTCACTTCAAAGCTTTGTGTATCCCGGCCATAATAGAGTTAATTTTCCTAAATATTTAATCCCTAGCCCAACAAATTTGATCTGAAACTATTTCACAAATACTCTCCAAAGCAATTAAATTCTTTTTTAAACTTATAGGTACTGATGAGAAAAAAAACATTAGCTGCAGGAAATCTATCATTCTAAAAGAAAAAAATAACCTGAAGAGTGCAGGATATTCTTATGTCTCTAAAGCCATGCACGATCTGTATGCAAAGATATCGCTACCTGGTGAGTGTTTTCTGCTCCAGATTATTGATGTAAAATTTTTGAACTGCAGCATGCAGAGAGTCAAGGTCATTAAAATCTTGGTTTCTGCACCTGAGGGGATAGGGATGTGTATAAATCAATTATCACAATAATTTATTATCCCAAGAGAGGGTTTATGAAGGATGGTTGTATTAGTGTCATCATTTGTCCACTGAGAGCCACTAATGAGGCCACTAGGGGGCCAGGCAGGGGGGCCTCAATGAATGCTGACCATGTCAAACCCACCACCAATCAGGCTGACTAATGTGGCAGTTTGTACATTGGTTTTTATTGGTAATCCTTCAAACTCTGTCAAAGGCAGACTCCAAATTGGAAATGTCTTCCTATACACTGCTATTGTAGCTGTGAAACACAGATCGTTTGAAGTCAGTTTGGAGAATGGCTGCCTGCCTTTTCCTTCAGTGATCAAAGAACTCAGACATATGATGTTTCATGTTTTCTTAACCCATAAATACAGGACTGATCTTAAATTGAAAAGACATATTAAAATACTGGCATGATAAAGAAAATCTTTAGCTTCCTGTGCACTTTTTCATAAATACATGTACTAAAATGAAAAGGGATTTTAAATCACATTTACACCGATTCTTTTTTTCCTCCTGATATTTTTTACATGAGCAGCTGGGCTAACATAATTTTTATTTTGACTTCAGTTTCTGTTAATAAAGTCTGTCAAAATCATTTCTTATCAAAGAAGATGAAGGCTGATTTTTTGGCAATTTATAAACATTTTCATTATAGAACAATTCTTAAGGTAAACACTTAGTGTGTATGTGTGTGTTTTTTTGAAAAAATGTGCTTGCTTAAAGCTCATGCAGGTACTTGCTAGCTATGTATGATGAATTTCATATCTCATATTAAAACTTCAGTCATTAACTTAGTCTGCAATTGATTTCAGATGCTTTATAGGAAAAATTAACCTAAAAGACTTCTAATGAAGAAAGTTTTTTCCCACAAGCTGAAAAGCAGTGGGGTGTTTTCGAGTGCATGTATGAATGAGAGTGCCACAAGAGGTAAGCCTATCTAATTAACAGTGCATCTAATATATTCATCTAATGTTCGGGGGCTTGTTTTCATGTTACGATAAGATCTAGTTATGAATCAGAATGAGAAAACCCCTAGTCAAAAAACAAACATCATAACTGTGCACTCTGTCTACTGGTAAGAAATAAGCATGGTAAACAGTTTTCCGGTGCACCACAATTTCCCACTTCCATCCATTTCCCCATCTGTTTTATTCTTATCTGCCCCTTTTACATACAAACCTACAAATTACTCTTCTCAAAATCCTGCTTGAAAGGATGACCTAATATAGATTTTTTTTCTTTTGGCAAAAGCACAGAATATATATATATGCCAAAAGTAAATCTAATTAGAAGCTGTCAGATTAATACTTATATATCTACAAAATAATTTTTGTCATGCTTTGCAACTTTCCTTTTTAATATCAATTAATCATTTAACATCTTGAGGAAAAACATACGTTGCATTTAATAATCCAGGAACTTGCACACTGACATAATATATTAAATAACTAATAAAAAATAACTTCTTTCCATGAAAGAAATTATTACTCCTAATTTTTGTCAGCATTTTAGACTGTTAATATCTCTTGTTCTATTTATTCCTGCGCTTGAACTACCTTTTCCCAAGGTACATTGCCTCGATCTCTTATCTTTTTTTTAACCTGGAAGTTTTGTAATAAATTGTATTTACAGCTTCACACCAAAGCACTGACCTTTTACCTTAAGCATATTTAATAACAACAATAAAATAGGCAGGTAGACATAGTTAATCATTTTAATTACCAAAAAAAAAGTATAAATAAATTAGCAAGTTTTAAAGATTATTTCAATCGCACAATATTTCTCCTCCTTACTGCGACATAAAATAACACTTATGTACCGGTAGGTTAAAGTCCTTTGATAGCTGTACTAGTCAAAACCATCAACTACATATGTTTGATAATTCGTATTAAGAAAACCAACAAGTACACCTGAATGATTATGATTTCCCTGAGACAAGTCCTCAGTTTGAACAATGTGCTTCTTTTCTCACTTGATTTAAACTAACTTTGACTGGGAGCCTTTATTGAGGCAGATGATGTCTCCCAATGAGGGAACTGTTTGATGTGGTCATGTTATACAAAATATATAAAATCATTCTATACTTTTTGGCCCCAAGCAGCCCACCTTCTGACTTCACTTATGAATCAGCAAAACATACTGATGTACCGGGTGAACAAGGTCGACCATAAAGGTGAAGGTCAATAAATATCTGAGACATCTGATAATCAATATCTAATAATATTGAACTTAACAGTTTCTTGTGTTGGAGCAACATGAATGTATTATCTAAGCCTGGCATCAATCTATTTTTCTAAATAGCTTATAAAACTGCTGTTTAAATGTAAATTTGTTTAAAGGACTTTAGATCTGGTACAGAACCTAGAACCCCGACAATTTAAAATATGTACTTCTACCTTAATTGTTTTCTTCAAAAGAACTTTCATTAAAAGAGTGCATATCTCAGTTAAGCTTCCAGTTATTGGCGTTATCATTATTTTTTCAAACAAGAGTGCACCATAAAATCAGTGCGAAGTTATACATTAATTGTATTTGTTGGTTAAAGCGAGAGGTTACAAAAGGACAGCTGAACAGGTACAAAAATATCTAGAGATTTGAATAGCTAGCGGATAATGACACGGTCAACTAAGGGTCCATTAGACCCCTTGACCAATCAGGAGAGTTCAGAAGTCAGTGACCACGGCAACATACAAAAATTGGTGTTATCAAAATTGATTTTACATATGTGCCAGAAATTTGAGTGGAGGATATGGAGATGAAAGAAAAATAAGTGATATTTAAACAGATGGAAAACAGAGCCAACGGCTGCTTAATGGTCAAGAGATCTACATGCTAGCTTATGATTACTGATGCATATTTATTAACAATTTAAAAGCTTTGGGAGAAATTGCTAACTGTTAATACCGTTAAAACCTTTAGTTGATAGCCCTTCTAACGAAATAAAATAACTTTGTAATAGTCACAGAAAACTGTTAGGTTGTATGCAATTTTCCCCATGAATTTAAAAATCGCCCTGATAAGAATTAATTCTTGAATACACAAATACCCAGGTCAGGGAAAAAGCCATATGGGGTATTTAGATAGACCCAGGCATTCTTAAAAATCACCTGCTCTTCACAATACAAGTATACAGCTGTCAGAGTTCTGAACATTCAAAATAAAAAGTCCCCCAAACCACAATCAGGATGCAAACAGTATGAACGTCATTTGGCTACCCAATTATCATTTGGAAAAGGGGGGACCATGCATAATTAACATTTTTGTGAGAATAGTATATACTTTTGACATAACCACAACAGATGGCTTCCAGAAGACTACTTCACTACTGGAAGGTGTAAATAGTCCTGGCCTCCAAAGTGGTTCATTAAGCCACCCCCAAACCAGGTAGCCAGACTAGCAAGTTTTTAAATGGTGGCTTTTTGATAGGTAAAAGAAATCTGTCAGCTGCTGAGAGAGGGGATTAACAACTCGCACTGGCAGATGGTGTGTATGACATCAATGGGATAAGTAAGTGTTGGAAAGTCAAACAAGTGGGGCCAGACAATTTGGCATGTCTACTCAACATGCAAGTAGTATCTTAACTGGAAAGCTAGAATTATGAAACATTACCCAAAAAAATGTACTAGCCCATTCTCGCTAATTTAATTTAATTGCAATTAAAATATGTCTCCAAGTTCTTGGAAATTTACATTTACCTCATTTACATACTCTCTTATTTAAAAAGTTTCTATTTCTTAGGAAAATGAACTTTATAAACAACTAAATAAACTAAACTTATAATGAATGCAAATTAATTTCATTTAAAAAGGATTAATCACCACATTCAGAATTTAAGGTTTTGTTTATTTATTAGCTTGCCATGTCTTATCTACCTAAACCAGTCCTGGAAGGTCAGAAAGAAGTCCTAAGTGGATAATCTCTATCTTACATAATGTAAAACACGAAAGTACAGGTAAAAGACATTGCCGAAAAACCAAAACACTGATTAGCATAGGCTGACATCAGGTCTAAAAATAGCTCGCCCCACAGCTATAGAAGTAAGGGGGCATTCAGGCACCTATCAGTTCCTATAATTAAATACAAGGAAATTTTGACTTATTCTCTACAGAAATCAAATTATCACAGCTAGTATGCCTGTCCTCAATTTGCATATGTAGAAGAAAAACCTTTTATCTTTAGAAAGATCTGTATCATAAAGGTTATTTGTTCATAAATATGAAAAAAGTCATGTTTTTACTCTTCAAAAATTATCACAACAGGTAAAAACAAAAGTTTTGAGAAAAAAATTCATAATTATTCCCTAATGTACCAGTAAATGCCACAACACAATTTTTAAACATAGTATCAAGATTTACTCCACATTTATAAACAAATTAAGTGAATTATTTTTTTTTGCATTCCAGTAGCATTGTAAACATGTAGTAACAAATTCTTGACCATGTCGGAAACACCTGCCAAAGCTAATGAATTCAGGATTACAACTAAATGAAATAGAAAGCATCCTCACTATTTGCTCCCTGACCGCATGAAGATCAACTTCCAATTTATCACTCTAAAAAACCCCACTATCTACATTAGCTGAAATTGTTATTGAAATGTTCTTGCCAATAAATCAGCACTCTTATTAAAGAAATACTTCAGTATCTATAAAAACGATGAGGGTGAACCCTCCATTACCCCTCCTAATCAAGCTAGTATTCAGGTGTAAGTCACAGAATACCCAAATAATGGCAATATAGGTGTATATATGTATTCTGTAGCAGGTGCTATCATCAAAAGAATAAGCTAATCCCCGCTTCCTATTGAAAAATGGCCCTGATTACAGAGAAAACAAATCGGACGTCTAAGAGATTCTTTTTACTAAGCAGGGGCAATTTATGAATATATACCCGTTAGTCCTTTCTTTCCAAATAATCGGACATTTAAAACCCCCAAACTATGGAAAATGACTAAAGTGGAAAAAAGTTCACCTGGCTATGTTTACAATGGGTACCCCCTGTCAAGGCATACAGACAGAGCATTTTCCTCCCGTGCTTGATTTTTCTCCCACTCTTAGTGTATTAACAGACTTCTCGATTAGGTTTTTACAATTTTTCAGTGTCTCTGTTATCAGTACAAGTCACATTAAACCAGACAGTGTTAGTCCCTTAACAGTACTTGAAATGTCTCATTATTATCACTCAAATGACTGAATAAAAGTAAAGCAAGCCTCATGTTGTCAGATAGCGGGTGGTTTAAGTGACTATAAAACTCTTTTCAGACCTATATCAGCTTACAAAAGGAGTTTCCAAGTCAAAATAAATGGAAGCCAGCACTAACCCAGAGGCAACATCTGCTCCAGAAGTTTAAATGACCTTGACCTTTTTTTCAGCAAACAGAAGCAGTTCCTGCCTGATGGGAAGATTTCACCCTTCCCTGATAATAACAGTTAATGAACTAAGAGAGGTACCTCATGTATGTTGATACAACTTGAACATATGAACTCGCCAGTTCATGTTGCTTGTCTGGTTCAGCTACACCACATCATGAATTCTTCTGAAGCCCTGTAAAAAAAAGGGGGGAAGAAAATGACTAATAAGCCACTGGTTGTTTGACTGAAAATGTGGCAAAAATATTGACCTCATTTCTATAGGTTATTATGGGAAGATCGATACTGATTTGTATAGAAAGTATTAAACACTGATGTCACAAATCCTGTAATTTAAAATCAATTTTCCAATTTGGGAAAAATGGGATATATTTACTTGTATATGATTACAAAAAATGATGTCATATGTTGTGCTTTTTAGACATCTAAACACTGCATAATGGAAACAAATTCTGCTAATGTGGTATAGGGATTACATGACAGCGCGTGTCGATGGTAGTTTCACACAATGATGTTAAGATATCAGTAACACCCAGTGTGTATTACCTCTATAGATATAACAACACACCTGTAAAATTTTCTGTTTTCATTTTTCAAAAAAAAAGTATTCATTGAAATTCTTAAATAACATTTTCTTTAATCCCTTTCTACCTGGCATTATTAATGTATAAAGCAAATTACTCTAATTATGAACAGCATGGATCAACAATAGATATTTTAATGTTTTGGACAACAAAGCTTCTCTAATTGACTTAGGCCCATTTGATGACAATGCAGATATACTTGCATTTAAGGATAGCTAAGGACCTAATCATTGTGATTATGATATTTCCGTTGCAAAATTTGAATCAAGTTTCCTTTGGAAAATCGGGTCAGGGTATGAGAGACAGTTGAAGCGTTATAACATGGTGGTATTACATTAATGACGCTATTGTTATGATCTCTGATGACTATGTATATTCTATGAAAAATAATCTGTGATGTTTTTGAGGTAATTATCAGCTGATATCTGTTCGGGATCAGTCAAAAGAAAATTCTGCTAATCCTCACCAGATTCGCATTTCTGACACAAATCTGCATGAGTCACTTTAACATATGTATATAAATAAAATGAAATGCAAATCCCATAAGATATAGCAGCACTTTTAAAAAGATGCAAAGCCTATCTCTCGTAAAACTTATTTTGGCAAGCCACCACAATATCATGTCGGAATAAATATACATACAAAAATAACATTGACAACACTAACCACTTTACAAAATACATAAAGTAAATATCGAGGACCAACTTTTTTTTTTAACCCTTTGGAATAATTTGACCCAGTTTTCTTGAGGGTGACCTAGAAAACTTTAGACACAGTAGTCACACTGATTCACAGGCAATAGGTGAATGATCTGACTCTCTCAGACTCTTCTGTATGTAATCAGTGATGAGGAAAGACTAGGGGAAATACTGGTTTTATAGGGAAGCAGTCATCAGAATTTATTATTTAAGGCAAATGATTAATAGGATTGTTGGGCCCCACAGGAGGTAGATAAAACCATTACTTATTATATTTAGCCTAGATTGGGTCCCTTGACATTTCATGGCAACTATGTCAGAGCCATAGGTACAAATGACACTTTCCAATTTCTTCCGAGTAGTTTCCTATGGAGCAAACATCATTACAGAAAAATTTACTGCTTTGGGTCTACCAGCTACGAATTAAGTTATTTCCACAAAGCATAATTGTACTTTTTGCATGAAACTTAAGAACCAGTCAAGCTTAATGACATACAATTTACACATACATCAATCAAAAGTTCATTTTTAATGAAATGAAAAATCTGTAAAAGTTAAAAAAAAATCATGCTAAAGAGGACATTGTATATCAGATAGCCAGATGCCACTGATATCAAGGTGATCCATTATACAACAACTAAACACCTGATCTATTAAAATTTCTATATACAGAGCCAAACCCCTGACCACATAATTTGCTGATCTGGCAAATCAATCAAATAGCACATTGACTAATCTCAAAGGTGGTTAATCAAAAGGCTGAACATCCTGCAGGTGAGAGAACAGAGAGATTATGTAACTCAAGGGGGAAACTGAGTTCTTCACAGGGTTGCCAAATAGAGCACAGCCACACGGCAGCCCGCATGCGGTGCCAGTAAGTCACTGAAAGGTGCCACCAACCGGTAACCAACCAGGCAGGTCAATAGGCTAATTAGGTTCAACAGTCGCAGTAATAAGACACAATAGCATCAACCACACCAGAATCAAAAAGGTTGCAATTAATTTACACAGAACAAGGATGTTTGCAACTTGGAGACAGTGCAGTGACATTACCCTTTATTTCCTTATTATTTGGTGATCCAAAGATTTACAGAAATGTGAAAATGTCATCCTTTGTCAAATTTTGTGTTGGCTCTTGTGGACCCTTGATCCAATTTTTCTTTTGGTGCTTTGCCTATTAAACTTTTTGACCCTATTATGGCCATACCATGAATAGATCTGAGGACTACAAGTTGAAAAAGATTGAAGACATAGTAAACTTCAT